GTAAAAGTTAAAGTCTTCTCTAAAAATATTACTTGTGTAAAAGTCTTAAAGTATCTGATCTTTTTTATACTTAAGTATCAAAAGTAAATTTCTGACACAAAATCTACTTAGGTATTAAAAGCAAAAGTACTGAGTAAAAGTGAGCAGTTAGATTTTCCAAAATGACATTTATTGGGAGGTAACTTCTTAAAAAATACTTTTTCTAATGGCGTGCAGCTGTGATGGGTTGTGTACAAGCTAATAGGGTGTCAGAGTGGTATGTATTTATGCTTCTCATTCAACCACAATTAAATTCACTCTATCCAGGAGACACAATTTGTCAGAATAGTATTTTTTTAAGTAATGACAATTTGGAATAAAATAAGAGTAACAACTTTCTACTTCTTACCTTTTTAAAAAATGTAGTGATTAGAAAGTACAGATGATTGTTGTTATGGAAATATTTATTTAACAAAGACAAAAATATGTGGTCCAAGAATGAAGGTACTCTGTGGGATGATCAGCTGAGTTTTATTGCAACAACAGGAAACAGAGAGAACAACCTGCCCTGTCTCTGTGTCTCTGCCTCTGTGTCACTGTCACTGTGCCACTTGAGAGGCCTCATACATATATATTGTTTAACAAACACTATTATGTCATCTTAGCAAGATTTCATGCAAGGTCAAGGGAAAACACAAAGATAAACACAAGTGATATCTAAGAATGATTGTTGTTAGCAAATCTTGTTCTGACTTTAATCATTCTATCTGCAGATGAACAGCATGTCATGAAAACCTAGGTCATTTAAGTATGTCATGAATTACTGGCTTAAACCTAAAAGTATTAGTTCCTGCACAGTTGTGTAAAAATGTAATGAGTAAAAGTAAAAAGTACGCTGAAAAATAATTACTCAAATAAAGTACAGATACCCAAAAATTCTACTTAAGTAAAGTAACTAAGTATTTGTACTTAGTTACTTTACAACTCTGGTTGTAGGGGAGAGCCAGATTCTGTAATCAGTTGCTTGGGAACAGAAGAAAATGTTTTGGGTCAGGCAGACAATAACAATTTTCCATCTGCTTTAATGTCCACTGGTACATCTCAAGGTGGCAAATCCAATCAGACAGTGTGGAAAAATTCCGCAAAGCCGATCTATCAGCTTTCTCCAAGATCAATTCCATCTCACCAGCAAAGTCCAGGAACCACAGCCGGCCCATGACCCTCAGCAGAACCACTTGCAGTCCAAGTCCAGCTCGCTCAAGGCATAAGTCTGAGTGCTGAAAGAACGGCAATCCTTCATAATGATCAGGCAGCCAGGAAATGAACAGCCACCAACGTTGTTTTGTAGAACACCAGGAGACCACTAAGCCAATCTGTAGAAGTGATCAGAATCCAAATATGTATCCAGAACAGAGCAGAACAGAGGTCCCACCTTTGACATGTCCTCCCATGGAAGAAAACTTTGTTAAAAAATGTATTAAGAGACCAGCTAACCAAATCCATAAAAATAAAAATATCCATAATTTCTGGTTTTGGATGAAAACGTAGAGAAGGCTCCAAGCAACAAAGCAGGGAAAATAAGGGAGGGCATGAGAGAGGGAAGAAAGCGTCTTACTCCTCCAAGAGCAGGAAAAAATTAATAAATAAAAAAATTAAAATAAAAAGTTATATAATGTATATAATATATTATATATGTTTTATATAATATAATATCTATATACTCTCATCCATTGCAACAAAGACTGTATCAAAACAAGATTAAAAATCAGATTTGTGAGATATTTATGAAAAACCTAATAAATGATCCTAAATAAAAGTTTAACATGAATCAGTTTAAAACAAATGCATTAGGTCTGTGTAACAGCGTAAAATTACCTGTTAAATTAATTCAGTTCCAGTAGTGTTTCCATTGCAAACTCAGCATTTATATCAAATGACCTGTGACTTCCAAACAGTCTGATAATGTTCATTATTCATTACTGGATAAATTAAAGTAGCAACTTTATGGCGTGCATACAGTTTGAAAGAGGAGATGTAAATGAAAACAGAACTTTATACTAATGTTTAACATTTATTTTATAACTCAGTTAAAAATAAATATCTTTTTTAATTGGCTTGATGCAGATTAGATGGAGGATAACTTTAAAACTCGTGACATATTATCACTTTCCTGGATTCAACACACTGATGTAGATTTAACTCTGAGAATGTCTTTTTTTAATAAGAAGGTTTAACCAGTGAGAGGCATCAGATGTGTCCAGTGTGATGGGTTTATAGAGCTCAGCTGGTGTTTGTTTTCATGCAGGGTTTTGATCGTGTGTGTCGGCAATGGAATGATTCCCGGTCACATCACTGAAGATGGGTAATTATTGTTTGTTTTCTGTTATTAATTTACAAAACCACAGTAATGTGCTAATTTGTTTATTGTTTGTCTTTAGGAGAACACTTGTGTTTCAGATCAGCAGTGACCACTTGGATGAACAAAAGAGCAAATATTATATTCCAGTGTGTTTGAAGAAGGTATGTGAGTTTCCGTGAGACAGAGCTCAGTTTCAAGGTTTTGTTGCTTCATGCCACCTGTACAGTGTGGGTATTAGAGTGTGTACTTTCATGTGTTCCCCCACAGGGCTGCAGTGACACGTCAGGGTTCATGCACGCAGTTTTTGGTCTCCTTTTACCTCTGGGCTACGAGTACAACCCAGACCTTGTTCTTTTGGTTCGGATGCCAGACAGTAAAGTGTGCGACGCCGTGTGGCAACAGCTAACTGGTCTCCTGCAGAGCTTCGCTAAAGGACACACACTGGTCCTAATGCAGGTGAGAAGGCCTGGGCTTGTTTGTCTAGAGACTGTTTATTTATTTATTTATTTATTTGTTTGTTTGTTTGTTTGTTGTTTTCCAGGAGAATGACAAAGCCAGTGTGGGTCCTACAGCTTCCATCCTCCTCGGGGACCCTGCAGCCCCTCTAGAAAGCCTTCAGGCCCCAAACCCAGAGGATCTAAATGCTGTGGAGCAGCTGAGAGACAGGCTGCAGCTGAACTGGAAGCTCCTGCAGACAACAAGTGAATGCACGGCAGCAGTTTGTCAGCAGGCCATATCATTTATGAAATGAAAAACAGCAAATCCAAAATATACTGTAATGTTTTCTAAAAGTTGTTTTCTGAAATTGTTCAACTCGTGTTTTCTCTGGAAGGTCTGATTAAAAAAACAACAACAAAAAGATTATTTTGATACATAGGAATGTATTTTTTCATTTTTTTGCAGCTTTTTTTGTATTTAGAATGAACTTGTAAAGATTGCTCACGCTTTCATGAAATAAACTGTACAGAACTGTTAATCTTGTCTTATACTGAGAATCGTGTTAAAACCTTACTTTTAACCATTTTAAGCTCTTAAATTGTAATGTTTTTCTCATTATGTTTATCCCAGACTAAGTATTCCACATTCATGATGTTTTTCTTCACATGTATTTAATGTGAGCTGCTAGCATCTCATGTAGAAATGGTTCCTCTGTGTGTGTGAACAGAAACAGAGTTTAAACTAGATACCGCATGGCAGTACCCCGCACGCACAAATGCACCACAATTTAGAAGTCCTTATTCCTAATAAATGTCATGCTACTAGGTGCATCCCAAAAATGTAGTGGTTTGGGTGGGGGTCTTTTTTTTTTTTGTGGGGGGGGGGGGGGCATTGGTTGACCTGAAGGATAGCAAAACTGAGCAGAACATTGAAACATGAATTAGTGTACATAAACCTCTCCACTGAAGTATGTGTGCAGTTCTACAGAGCCACCATCCATTCATCCATTTCAGTGTTTCACCCTGGCTCCACTCTCCACACTAAATATTGACTTGATTACATCATCAAGCTGGGCAGTAAACTGAGGCGAAAACACCAAACAGCTGATGAAGACTCTGCACCGTGTCAGAGTCATGAGACGAAGGACTCAAGTCACCTGACACACCTTTTAAAAGATGCTGGCTGAAGGCTACATACCGTCAGAACAAAATCCTCCTGCCTGCAGCCAGGAGAACTTCCTGTGTACACATTCCTGTCCATGTAACAAAATAAATGTGACTGATTGAAAGATTTTACAAAAATATTTTGTTTTCATTAAAAAAAAAGTGTCTAAAGACAAACCTGCAAACTCCACACAGAAAGACCTCAGTGCTAACCACTGAGCTGCCATGCTGCTTGTTCTATTTTGCTTGTTTCAGGTTTTAGCTACTAATCTGCTACTTTTACTTCTAGTTTTTATTTACAGCTGCATTTTTCTACTTTTAGCTACCGATTTTCCCCATTTAACTAGCTTTTGCTACTTTCAACTAGCGTTTTGCTGCTTTTAGCTTCTAGCTACACATTTGGTGACTCCTTTGATACTTTTATTTATTTTGCCACGTGTAGCTTTTACATAGCATTTTGCTGCTTTTAGCCTTTTTAACTTCTACTACTTATAACTTTGAGCTTTTAGCCTTTTGTTGCATTTAGCTTTCACCTAACTTTTTATTAATTTTAGCTAGAATTTTGCTTATTTTAACTAGAGTTTTTACAATTTGTGGCTTTTAGCTAATATTTTGCTTCTTTGAGCTTATAGTTTAGTTAGTGTTCAGCTTATTTTAGCTTTAACAACTCAGTTTCAGCTTCTTCAGCAACAGGTAAGATATTTACCATTCATAACATTTTCACAGAATTACACTTGAAAAGGCCGGACCTTATTTTGAGAAATGAGTAACTTGTGCTGCCCATCAGGCCTGTGGGGGGCGCTGTGGGGGACATGTGGGACAACTGAAGACTTGACTCCCATGTGACTCAACCACCACTGCCTCTTTAAAGCTTGTGATGTGCCTGTGACTGTGTGTGTGTGTGTGTGTGTGTGTGTGTGTGTGTGTGTGTGTGTG